TAAAAATTCTATACTTAAATGCCATTTTATTCAATTTAAAAAAATTGAAAACCAGAAACAATGCTCTGCAATAGTGAAGATTGTACTATAATTTTTAAATGGCTATGGTTGCTGTATTTTCACTCAACCACTGGTTTAATCCTGGTCAGTCATCAGTGATTCTATTAAGTGGAGCACACAATATGCTCAAAGGTCAATTATTTTTATTAGAGGCATCCTTTGATCACCCTATATAAATTAACACCCTACTTCTCACTCTCAGCCTCCTCAACCGGCTGCTCTATTCTTTCTTTAGAGCACTTCACTGTTAGGCATCTCATCACTAGCAATGTAAATTTTATGAAGCTTTTAGACAGTTTTGTCTATTTTCTTCAATATCATATTGCTAGCTCAAAACTCTGACACCTGAGCATTCAAATATTTGAGGTGAGTTGGTTGGATGGCTGGATGATGGATAAATATCTCCAAAAGCTAAACACTGACACATAATCATACATATAGATATAATAGTTCAAATAATATTCTTTTCATCTTGACACCAAGTGATTAGCATATACCCTGAGGAAATCAGTATTTGTTTTCTGTAACATTCCCCTTATCTATAGTCTAGAAAACATATCAAAACAAGTAAAATTTGGCATTACATACTCCTAGATACAACATGCTTATTCAGGGATTACAAATTTCTTCCATAAGAGCCCAAGAAAATCAATTCAATAATCGTTCTTCTAAAACAGGTAACACTTCAGTCTCATTCTGGAACCCAACTATCTCCATAATTATCCAAAGGCTATCTGCAACTTCTCTACATAGTCTCAGATACAAATCTTCTTAGAGTCAGCCCAGAGATTTATTTAAAGCAACTAGGTATCTTTACCTTAGATGTCTATTTTTAATTGTCCATTTATGTTTATTTTCCTACTTAAAAGTCATTATTATTCCAAAAGGTACCAAAAAACACGGACAAAAGGAAATTGACTACTGTCTTCTGTAGTTATAACTACAAATGAAATTTATATTATTCCAAAATACTGAGCCCAGCTTTACCTAGCCTTAAAAGCTAATGTGAGTGAAACATTTAAAAATCAGCCAGACAGGCAGATAAACTAAATGTTTGTGCTAGGCCACTGTGAGCAACAGACCAATTCTGAAATATTCGATAATGAAAGTACTCTGGCCAAACAAACATAATCTTAAAAAGACACTTTGGTTTAGAAACTTACCTCTATGAACATGGCCAATTATAACTGAAACTCCTCCCGTTCTTCAAAACCTCACACACTCAATTTAGGTTCTACTCATTAAACAAAAAGTCTCCGCAAACCGTATACTTTCAGATCAAAAAATACCTCAGTGGTAAACTAGAAAAATGTATTTCGGTTCCTTGGTGACTTGGTTTAGGTCATGTAACAGCAAGAAATTAGGGTGTGGAATATGCATGCTGGTCTGCATGTGTTTAGAAGATGACAGAGTTGAGTCATATAAACTTGCTAAACCAATAGAACCAGCTTATCAGAAGAGCTTCCTACCTTGCTTCACAGTAGAATCAATTAATGGTTTTCCCCAGCAATGTTGCTTTTAAAAAGTCCACTGGATGCTGTTCAGAACATAAAATGAAGATGTCATCTCTATCAAATGTCCTTTAAAGAAGTGACTACAGTTGTGAAGCCTTTTGTAAACAGTTAAAAGATCTATCTGTCTAATCTATATACACAATACAAAGGGCCCCGTTATCGTGGAGCAAAATATTAAAGTGGAAAGATTAAATCATGTTGTAATGCTACATTCCTAATTTGTTGATTTGGACATTGCATCTGAGGTGATTCTGAAAAATAAGTTTCCAGATTCTAAACCAAAAACTCCATGTTACAGGAAAGATAGGGACTAACAACGACTGCGTTTAGAGATGTGAACTAGGGAGATAAGGGTTGGAAAGGAAACTTTTACGTTTTTTTTAACCATGTACATTAATAAACATAAAGGGACCATTCACATTAGGTTCCATCCAATAGTCACCTTGGGGGAATTCAACTCCAGCACTGTCAGCTTATTACTCAGGGGAAACCAAAACTAAATTTTATATTAAATTCCCCAATTTTTAAGTGTGAACAATTCCTTTTTTTGTACTGTGTGGGCTGAACTGTATTCCTATTTGGTTGTACCCTGAACAGGGCACCTGGCCAAGATGCGGGAAGGGGCAGTGGTGAAATTTGGACTTTTCTACAAGGAAAAAGGCTGGTTGTGCATTTGGGCAGGGGGTGAAGGGTAAGAGGTGCCTTTTCCTAATTCTCACAAGTCACACTGACAGTAGTGCCCCTGCTTCTTTGCAATCTCTGGAGTAGAAGACAGAATGGGAGCATTAAAACTGGAGATAATTTATGTATCTGTATCTGTAAGGATGGCCTTTTTCTACCAACCCAAGTTGCTCATCTGCCAGCAATAGCAATGGATTAATTAGGCTTCCTGTTTTTAGTGATGTATCTGTGACACTGTCTTTAATTGTGCTAGGCACCTGTTACAGTGTATAGTAAAAGATACATTGTATGTGTTCATACACATTCAGCTGAATCCTAAGTACCTATGACCAATTAACAAGATACTGCAACAATAGCCTTTCATTACTGAACTTATATAAAGTTCTCAAATAACTTCTTCCAAGATTTTGTAGAAATTATTTATAGAAGTGGGTTAGGCAGGGTTAAGTGTGTTATCTGTGTTTAAATTGATAGCTAAGTGTCTCCTTGTATGTAGAAGAAAATTTCTGTAAATCTGCTCTTCCCAGAACTCTTTACCTGTTTTTTTTTAATGTAAGACTTAATTTATTTTAGAGAGAGAGAGAGAGAGAATGAGAGCACAAGAGGGAATCTCAAGCAGAATCCCCCGCTGAGCGGAGCCCAATCAAGGCTTGAGCCCACGACCCTGAGCTCATGACCTGAGCCAAAACCAAGAGTTGGACACTCAACTGAACCACCCAGGCCACCCCCAGAACTCTGAGTCTAAAGCAAGCAGACAGATGGCAGTGTGTCACCAAACAGAATGTATCAGGCTGGGAATAAGGAAACCTGGTTTCTAATACAAGCCCTGCTACTCACTAGCTATACAGATGTTTTCTAAGGCTGTTCTAGTTCTTAAGAAAATTGCTTCAAGTAAAATTTGGGTTTATAAAAACAGTCATTGATATAAGGGTTGGTTTAAGACTTTTTAAAAATTGATAAAAAGTTTAAGTACAAAATTCCGTAGGTTCCCAGTGAGGTTTTCATCCCAGTATAGTAAGAGCACACAATAGGTATTACTGGCTCATCAACTCCCTGGCATTTTGCAGCCCACCTGTGCATGCACAGGAGAGGAACTAAAGAAGGACTTGAGAAACTACCGGCTACCTGAAAGAAGAAAATTGTGGCAACAGAAAAAGAAAAGACGAGTGATGACACCTTTTATAACTGTGTGGAATACATTTTCTCTTGCCTGATTTAACAAATGGAAAAGTTCTACAGCCTGGTTTGCCTGCCTCAGGTCCTGGATGCTGTTCAAGCTTTGTTTTGTTGAACAACCAGATGCCCAACTCTTTTGCCTTGTGGAAGATGAGTAAATGCAGTGCTTGTTAAAATGGTCATGTGGGCTATCTGGGAACTCTCTAGTTATTATAAATCTAATTATGGCACAGAAATGTATAATCTACTTCCAGTGCTACTCCATTCCTAGCTGCTTTCTCAAAATCCTTAACATAAGCTTAGTGGGGTTTGCTATAAATACAGTTGTCTGTGATACAAAAGATTAATTGCTTTTTTTTTAAACAAACCTCTTTAAAAAAAAAGGAAGACTGGGGGAAAAAATGGAGAAAAAGAAAGCATCATCAAATGTTTGTTTAAATAAAAAGATGTTTACTACCTAGTCATATTTTAACACTTTGAAACTATTTTCTTTAACTTATATTCAAGTGATTTTACAGCAAAAAAGGTAAGCACACGACTTTTATTTCTATTACACTGTCTAATAATAATCATCTCAATAAACAAAGGGAGAGTGACAAAGATAATGAAATATGAACTAAAAGGCTTTAAAAGCAGATGTAATGAAAATGAAAAATTGTACATCAAAGTCTTAATTATATTTGCTAACTCCTGTTGCTTAGTGGGAGAAGCCAGGGTGCCACCCAGTGGCAATGTCAGTCTTAAATGATTTTAAGATTTAAAGAATTAAATATTTAAAATAGTAATTAAAAAAAAACCCAAACCAAAAACCTCAGGAATTAGACAACTTCAATTTTAACATCAGTAATTTTGGTATATTAAATACTTATCTATAACATATTAAAGAACAGAAAACATTCATTTGCTTAGGCAGCACTGGGGAAATTTTTTAAAATACCATCTGATTTCCTGCTAAGTTATATGGTTTTAGTAAGTATTTTAATTAAAATATTGAAGGTTACTTTGCTTAAATTTAAATTCCAGAATTAATAATGGGGGGGCTTCACAAAATACAGTTATTTTCTTCTATGACTTGCAGAAGTAGATTCAATACTCCATAAAAGCCTCTCATTCATACACCCAAACTTCTGCTTAGTAAACAAAACCCTAACAGAAACCCTCCAAAAGAAAGATTTTAAAAAATAACTTTCTCTAACCATTTGGCACATCCCATCTTTTCCTCAGGTATAATCAATTTTAGTGTCTTAGTCAACAAAACTCAAAGCTGAAAGGAGGAAATGAAAATAGTAGAAATACTATGCCTGATAACTACTGATGTTTAGAGGTGGAAGGGAAACCAAGTATCTCACTGCCTCCTATTTCCCCAGTATCTGGCCACAGCTTTTTTCACACTGACACTGATATACCCCAATACAAGATGCTTTGGTAATATAACACTAGGGGAAAAAGTAATATATAACACTAGAGCATCCATTTATAGTTTGAAAAGCTAAATATCTCAGAGACTGCTTTATTCTCTTGAATAACCAGATAAGAAGCAACCCCCCCAAAATCCTAGAAATTTAGAGATTGTTTCCAACAGCTGTAAATTAAAAGTGTACAAGATACGTTTTCAAACGTATGTCCCATTTGTTTTGCTTTACAATGAAGACAATGAATAAATTTTTTAAAATGGCAGACACAACATATTTGATATTTACAATGGCTTGCAACAAATACCTGAAAATAATTTCTAATTTTCCATTTATTATTGCTATTTAGTCACAGAAAAAAACATTGTCCAAGAAATTTATTTTAGCATACGCCATATACTGATATAATTTTATATGAAGAGAAACCATTGCAGAAGTGACTAATACGGTGCCCGTACAAGGAAATAAAGAAAATAAACCAATAAATTCTTCCAGGTAAAGACTTGATCTGCATTATTTTTTCAAAATATAAAACCTTAGTATTAGAAGCAAAGAGAAAAACAGCAAAGAAAACAATAAAACAGAAGACCAAGGATAAGGAACTGCTTTGTGCAGATGCTTTGCATATGTAGTATATATGTATGGGCTGAGTTATAATAAAAATACTTATGTATTATAGTCAATTCTCATGTAGGGTTAGAAAGCGATTTCCAATCAAACATGACTAGACTGACATTTTCTCAGTCTTTAAATACATGACGAATTATAGCTGTGAGGCAGTCACTTCTGGTCAGCATTATCATGACAAATGCTTGATAAGATACAGTTTTTCTCCTTGTTCACTTGTAAAAATTGGTGCCTTTTTGTAATGCTCTACAAGTTCTTCCATGGTGCTGAATTTACGCTGCCCAATGCAGTAGACAGTCTCTTTTAGTTGGACTTTAAAATGCTTGTTTTTCCCTTGTGCTTTTAGTGATACAGAGAAATCATTTGGCTAAAAGAGAAAAAAAACACATAGGGTAAACATTTTGAAAGACATCCATTTTATATTAGACTAATAACAGTAAGTGCTCAAATTTTAGCTAAGTACTAGGTACTATACTAAATTATTTACACAGATTATCTCCTTTATACCTCCAACTAACCCCTTTCAGAGATGAGAAAATCCAGGCCACGAGAAGCTAAGTTGCTCAAAATCAACGATCTAGTTAACAAGAGAGCCAGGATTCAAACTCAAGCAGTCAGACTCCAAAGTCTCTCTTTTTTTTTTTTTTTAAGATTTTATTTATTTATTTGACAGAGAGACACAGCGAGAGAGGGAACACAAGCAGGGTGAGTGGGAGAGGGAGAAGCAGGCTTCCCGCTGAGCAGGGAGCCCAGTGGGGCTCGATCCCAGGACCCTGGGATCATGCCTGAGCCGAAGGCAGATGCTTAACGGCTGAGCCACCCAGGCGCCCCAACTCCAAAGTCTCTTCAATAATATGCTCTAACACCCACAGCAAATCCTTTAGTTTAAAGTTTAACATCTGAAGCTTAACAGCTATCTTCTCTCCTGCCAGACAACTGGAGAAACACATGAGAAAACATGAGCTAATGTGAGCTAATAGTAGCTATCTTACAAACTAGCTGAGATAATGTTCTGAATTCTCAAAGATGATAGACACTAATGAGAGGTCATAAACTCAAATGCCCTACAAGGGTAAAAAGACACGTAAACAAGTGACAGGGTGGATACAGAGAAGGAACAGTGCATGGCCAATCTAAAGGAGGTGGCCACTTAGCTGTGATTGTTGCCTTGTAGGAATAAGGGCAATGCTGGCAGGCCTTCCAATTTTAAAAGGAAGTCTGTCATCTGAATTTTTATAGTAAATCTCTCAGTATTTAAATACTGTTAACAAATTCGAATGTTTAAAAAAACATTGCTCAGGTCAAACACAATATGCCTGTCTGAGACCTTTACTTCTACTGCTAAAAATAATGGTGTATTTTGGATAATATCTAGGCTCAATTACCCACCACAAGAAAATACAATGTTCTGTAATCAAGCTACTTTCTTCTGTGTTTTATTTTAACCTAATACTTTTCTGAACAGTCTAAAAGTCTCCTTTTATATAATTACTGACAAAGTTTCAAACATTGGGCTTCTTGGAAACATCCTATACCTATGGTTACTCTTACCACCTGCTCTGAGGTCACTCACTACCTAACCCCTCTTGCTCATTGCTTGTCCTGGAAAGCAGGGTTAAGTCAGGCATCTAACAGAAAACAAATCCCACCACTCTTCCCTATCATCAATCCTGCTCTTCCTTAGGGGTTATGTATATGCCCCATTTCCTGAACTTCATATCAAGCAGTTCAATAGCCTCAGTTTCTCCTTCTCTACCTTCTTCCCTCCCTCTTATAAACATATATACACCATATGCATGTGCGCGCACACACACACACACACCAGATAGGTTTTCTTCCAACTTTCAACCTTTTACACAATCACACGTTCACTTTTGTACAACTCCATACACAGAAACAAAACCAATACTAATGTTTTGAAAAGTGGAAAAGTAGTGGTATCCTTTTAAAAGGAAAAATAAAGACCATTTTAAAGGGAAATAAATATCATTAAATTCTAATATCCTAAACATTAACCAAAAGAGCCCATTTAACTTTTACTCAATTTTTACGGTTTTATACTTTTACTGTTTTACTAGTATTGGAAAAAATGTATCTTTTATTGTAAATGCATTTCAAATACAGTTGAGTATTAAAATACGTTTTTGAGGTAAATAATTTAAGGGTTTCCAACTTCCAAACAACAAATCTATGAAGAAAGTTAAAACTTAATTTTTTTAATTTAGGGATTTCCTTTACTAAGGATGACAGCACATCCAATATGCAATTTAAGAAATGTTTTCCCAGGTGTGCCTGGGTGGCTCAGTCAGTTAAGCATCTGACTCATGATTTCATCTCAGGTCATGATCTCGTCTCAGGTCATGATCTCAGGGTTGTGAGATTGAGCCCCACAGTATGCTCTGCACTGAGCATGAAGCCTGCTTGAGATTCTCTCTCTCTCTCCCTCTGCCCTTCCCCCCACTCATGCTCTCTCTCTCTCTCTCTCTCAAAAAAAAAAAAAAAAGTATTTTCCCAGTTTAGTTCATTGTGTTGTTTTATTCTGAAGCAGCCATGGTTCAGTTTTCTCCATTTTTCAGTTTAACGCAAGAGAAGATATTTCAGAAAGGCAAGACAAACAGAATTAAACAAGGCCAAATAATCCAGTGTAGTTATCACTGCTAGGGCTATATTTTATTCAAAATAAATACGACTGTAAAGAACACTGATTTTAAGTTCAGAACATCTAAATTTATGTCCCAACTTATCACCTGGTTAATTTTAGGGAAGAAACTTAACCCTTCCAATCTTCTATTTATTTTTTTAATACTCAGAGCTCTATTTCCATTTATTTGAAAACCAACTTACCGAAGATTCACTATCACGAATGAGGAAATCACCTTCATGCCCTCTTTCATTTAATGCCATTTCTGCTTGATGCCTGGTGACTTTCCCATAATACCATGGATTGCCAGCAAACTTTCCAGTGAGTGAAGGCCTAATGTAATCACACTGAGGAGGTGATGGTTCCAAACCTGAGGTTAATGGATTATTCTGCATAATGGTAACATAGTTTTTTGGCACCAGACCAACCATTCCATTGATCTTCCTGCATTTCCACCATTCAGGGTCATTTTCAGGCTTTTCAATAACATCCATTACATCTCCTTTCTCAAAATTAAGTTCTTCATCATTGGACGAACTGAATGGGTAAAGAGCCTGTACCACATGCAACACTTGCCCAGTATTTAGGTTATTGACAACTGCTGCTAATTTCTCTGACAGAGAACCCACATGGTCACCCAAAGGACTGTCACCTTCCTCAGTTACATAGTTTGAAGGGAACCATCCAACTTGTCCATTGTAGCTACCCCGCCACCACCCATCACTGCATTTCTCCATGACGATCACCTTTGTCCCTTTTATCAATGATAATTCATCCTCTCTCTCTGCCATGTAGTTAAATTTCACATAAGCAGGCATGTTGAGGTCATAGAGACGTTCCCCTGGGTCAACAAAGCTATCATCAGCAGGAGATGCAGAATCTGGCACACTATGTTTTCTTTTCACTTTTCCAATGCCTGTTCACATAAAAAAAGAGTAATAAGAAGAGAATATAAGATAATGAAAACCAAAAACCCAATTTATTCATTCTTTAAAAAGGATCTTCACCTCGGTAGCTCTTTCAGCCTTTAAAAACTTGTAGATAACAAATTTCTTTTTTTCCTTTATTTTACATCTTCATGACTTATTTTATAATTGGAAGTTGTACCTTTTGACTTCCTTCACAAATTCTTTCCATAACCAAACATGTAAATGCAGTAATTATATGACAGTTTACCTTCTCACTTTTCTCTCAAAGGTGTTGAAATAATTGTACAACATAATGACAGTTTTCCTAAATTTAACAAAATTTCTTCCAAATGTAAATATAGATTATTTCTCTCATATCTACAATCTAAGTACATATTCTTGTCTTACTTTTATCAACCTAATTTTGCAATTAGCTGTATGGAAATAAAACAATAAATTACAACTTGATATACAATATAAGACTGTAGTTATGTCTGGGTAATCCTTCCGTTTGCTTTCTTAGTTCCCAGATCCATGTTGCTCTGTTTTCCTCATTATGTTTATTTTAAAATAATACATTATTTCCTTGTTTGTCTACCCTCACCCTGTTCACATGCAAGCTACAGAAGAGCAGGGATTTTTGTTTACTTTGTTCACAGATGTAACACCAAAGATCTCAGACAGTGCTTAGTATACAGTAGATGCTTAATATATATTTGTTGAAAGAAATGAGAAAAGCACCACATGGTACCACCATCATAAATGTAGGCTACATCAATTTTTGTCATGTGTTTTCACTACTGATCATTTCTTAGCACATGATTTTGTGTTCTGCTTTTACTGAGAAAACAGAGGCATTCCTAGATAAAACTTCTCGTACCTTCCCACAATCTCAAAACTCTTTCTTATTACCCTCACTCTTCTTCTTCATTCAAGTTTCCAATCTCTGATCCTCCTGGGTTTTTAAATATCACCTTTTCTGCCTCTTTTGGGACGCTTGGCCATCCTTGTTTCCCTCCTACTCAGTCCCTTCTACTGTCTAAAAACATACTCACAGATCACTTCTATTCCAAAATAAAGTTACTTCAATTCTGCTACTCCTTTTGAACTATACCATTCTTTAAAAAGTTGCTTCTTTTTCTTCCTTCAACTTATTCACCATTCACTCACTCCTAAATCCTTATGATCTGGTCCTTTAATCTCTACCATTCTACCAAACTACTCAATTAAACCATTCTTACAAAAACTGTGTCATCTCTTTACTGCCAGATCAGTACCTTTAGAGCCCTCATTCTTTTTAAACTCTCTATGCAGCAACCAAGATCATAGATTATTCTATTGTTTTCTCCTTTAACTCCCCTGAGAGTCTCCTGTCTTACCTGTTTAGATATTCTTGTGTATCTCTGTCTGGGCTCCTCTAAACCTTGTTATAAAATTGTATTGTACTTAATGGGGCGCCTGGGTGGCTCAGTCGATTAAGCGGCTGCTTTCGGCTCAGGTCATGATCCTGGGATCCTGGGATCGAGTCCCGTGCTGGGCTCCTCACTCAGCTGGGAGCCTGCTTTCCCCTCTGCCTGCCACTCCCCCTGCTTGTGCATGTTTGTTCTCTCTCTCTGGCAAATAAAGAAATAAAATCTTTAAAAAAAGTTTAAGTGAATTAAAATACTGGATTAAAGGGGCAGAGACTGGCAGAATGGATTTAAAAACAAGATCCAATTCTATGCTATCTATAAGCACTCACTTTAGATCCAGAGATACAAATACGTTTGAAAGTGAAAGGATGGAAATAGATATTCCATCAAAATGGTAACCAAAAGAGAGCTGGGGTGGTTGTATTAGTATCAGACAACATAGTCTTTTTTTTTTTTTTTTTAAGATTTTATTTATTTATTTGACAGAGAGAGATATAGTGAGATAGGGAACACAAGCAGGGGGAATGGGAGTGGGAGAAGCTGACTTCCCGCGGAGCAGGGAGCCCGATGCACGGGGTTTGATCCCAGGACCCTGGCATCATGACCTGAGCCGAAGGCAGACATTTAACGACTGAGCCATCCAGGCGCCCCCAACATAGTCTTTAAGATACAAGTTGTTACAGGAGATGGGGAAGGACGTTATATATTGATAAAAGGGTCAATCCATCAAGAAGATAGCACAATTAGAAATATTATACAAACCTAACGAGAGCCCCAAGACATATAAAGCAAAACCTGACAGAATTAAAGGGAGAAACTGAAAGTTCTACAATATAGTTAGACTTTAATACTTTCCAAAAATGAGAACTAGACAAAAATTTATTAAGGAAATAGAAGACTTGAAAAATACTATAAGCCAATTAGACCTAATAGACATATAGAACACTGGTAAACAACAGTAGAACATATAGTTTTCTCCAGTGCACATGGAACACTCTCCAAGATAAACCACATGTTAGACCACAAGACAAGTCTAAATACATTTAAAGAGACTGAAATCATATGAAGTATTTTCCCTGACCATAGTGGAATGAAACTAAAAATTAACAGAAAGGAAAACTGGAGAATTCACAAATATATGTAAATTAATTAACACATTCAAACAACTGGTAGGGCAAAGAAAAAATTACAGGTGAGATTAAAAAATACTCTTGAGACACATGACAATGAAAACACAACATACCAAAACCTACAGGCTGCAGCAAAAGCAGTACTCAGAAGGAAGTTTATAGCTCTAAAAGCCTATAACAAAAAGGAATTTTTTTAAAAAAGGAACTTGATCTCATTCAAATCAATAACCTAACTTTACTCTTTAGGGAACTAGAGAAAGATCAAGTTAAACCCAAAGCTAGCAGAAGAAAGGAAATAATGAAGATCAGAGCAGAGATAAACACAAGGAGAACACAAAAACAACAAAGAATCAATGAAACTAAAAGTTGGTTTTTGAAAATATCAGCATAATTGACAAAAGACACAAATTACTAAAATCAGAAATAAAGTGGGATGTTATTGGGACCTAACAGAAATACAATAAGAAAAAAAGAGAACACTATGAACACTTGTACAGTAATAAATTAAATAACCTGGATGAAAAGAACAAATTGCTAAAAAGACACAAACCCAAGAAGAAATAGAAAATTTGGACAGACCTATAACAAGTAAAAGAATGAATCAGTAACCAAAAACTTCGCAATAAGGAAAAGTCCAAAACCGGGTAACTTAACTCATGAATTCTAACATATTTTCTTCTCAAATTTGTACAAAAAGAGTAGGGAGGAAACATTTTGTAACTCATTCTATGAGGTAGCATTATCCTGATATCAAAGCCAGATAAAAATATCACAGGAAAAGTATTGACCAATATTCCTTATGAATACAGATTAAAAAATTCCTCAACAAAAGAGTCAATTCTTGCTATTTATGGTAGTTACATTCAATAAATGTAACTAACCTGAAATATCAGGTTAGGTCATGCAAGCCTCCGTGCACAACATTTTTGTCAAGGAAGCAATACATAATCTTGTTTCATGTGTGTCTCGCTTTAAAGATATTTTAATATAAAATATTTATTAACAATGAACTCACGGGCAACAACACTGTAACTCATGCCTAAATGAAGCTAACCTAACATATATTTTTTCCATGAGGCAAATCATACCTTTCTTGCACTTAGGAATACAAGACAATACTTCAGGACTATGCTTAGGAGGGCATTTTAAACAGCAAAATCATAAACCAAAAAAAGCACATCAATGAGAAAAGCATGGCACTAAATAGACTGCATAAAGGACATTTATTTACAATGAGAGAGCTGAAACAAAAAGGCAGAGCATCACCCTTGCTCAACATCAGCTGGCAACATGTGCATCAGGCAACTCAAAATTTTTGCCACTCTGTACATGTCCACAAAAGCACCACAATTATCAATTTGGGCTTACAAATAAATTTTAGCAAGTAGGCAAATTCACAAATATGGAACCTGCAAAAAATAGGGATCATCTAAACATTTTTTTTTAAAGATTTTATTTATTTATTTGACAGAGAGAGAGATAGCAAGAGCAGGAACACAAGCAGGGGGAGTGGGAGAAAGAGAAGCAGGCTTCCCGCTGAGCAGGGAGCACAATGCGGGGCTCGATCCCAGGACCCTGGGATCATGACCTGAGCTGAAGGCAGACGCTTAACGACTGAGTCACCCAGGTGCCCCCAAAATAGGGATCATCTATACTAACAAACAATATAGCAGCATATTCATAGGAATGTATATCATGACAAAGGGATATTTGTCCTGGGAATGGAAAACTGGTTCATCTGTTCAACAATACGAAAATCAGTATTATATACCACATTAATATAAGGAAGGAAAAAAACCACACGTGACCATTTCAACTGATGTAGAAAAGCATTGGATAAAATCTAACATCCTTTCATGATAAAAAGTATCAGCCAACTAGGAATACAAGGGAATTTCCTCAACATCATAAAGGGCATTTATTTAAAAAAACAAAACAAAAAAACAAAAAAAAAACCCCTGAAGTTACCATCACACTCAATAGTAAAAGACTGAAAGCTAAGATCAGGAATAAGTCATGGATACCCTTTCAGCCACTTCTATTCAACAGTGCACTGGAAGTGCTAGCCAGGGCAAGTAAGCAAGAAAAAGAAATAAAAGAGATCCAAACAAGAAAGAAAGGAGTAAAATAATTTTTATTTGCAGATGACATGATCATATATACAGAAAATCCTAAAAAAACCCACACCAAAAGAATGTTAGAGGAAACAAATTTATCAAGGTTGCAAGATACAAAATCAACACACAAAAAACAGTTGCATTTCTATTCACTAGCAGTGAACAATTTGAAGAGGAATTGAGAAAACAATTCCATTTATAATAGCATTAATAAAATACATAGGTTAAGTTTTTTAATCAAGGAGGTACAAAGACCAGTATACTGAACACTACAAAATATTGCTGAAATTAAAATATACCTAAATAAATGAAAAGACATTCTGTGTTTATGGATTTGAGGGTTCAATAT